TGAGTCCTTAGTCCTTCTCAAGTACTTATGGATATTCTTGACAGCTACCTAATGAGCATCACTAGGGCCATTAATCATTTTATTGCACTAACTTTACTTTAAGTCATCTAATTTTTGCTTTTTATTTTCTTGTCATTTACTTTTATGCTTTTACTTTAGCATTTTATATCATATTATCATCTTATTTTTCTCTTTGTCCACTTGGACCTTTGTTTATGTTTTTGATTTTCTTGTTTAATCCATTTGGACTCTCTTTTAAGACATTAATAAATATCAAACCACTAAAAGACTTGGTTCTCTTAATTCCGGACTGTTGTGATCTTATGCTTTGACTTGGACTTAGACCTCAAACGTAGAAGTTAGGATCTTGACCCTGGCTTGAGAATATATCTTGAGACTTGTTTGGATTCATTTGATATCCTTAGCTTAAGGACTCTCTTGAAGACTTATCTTAGCTATTGTGATTTCATCTAGTGCTTGGATTTACATTTGCTTATTTTGCCTTGATTAAGGCTTAAATCCAAAGGAGAAAATTCTTGATTGACTTATGTCATGGGGCTTGCTAGCTTTGTGTGGTTAGATCTTTTTTTGTCCTTAGCTTTTATGTTTTATGCTTTAGGATAATCACTTCATCTCCTCCCCTTCTTCAATTTTCAAAATCTTCTTCATTTTTCAAAACCTTTTTGTTTTCAAAATTAAACCTCTTTCGTAAAAAACCTTGACCTTTGGTCAAATGCATTTTTGAAATCTTTTTCTTAAATAAATGTCAATTAACCTTTAACATACTTAGATTATTTCAAAAAAGACATAAAAAAAATACAAAAACTCATTAAACTTTTTGTGCCTTTGTGCATTTTTTCTTTTAAACTTTTCATAAAGTTTAGACATTAGTCATTTTTATAGTTGAGATATAATTCTTCTATTCCCCATAATATTTAAAATGTTGATATTTTCTACTTAGATGTTGAGTGATAGACTTGTTGATTTTTATCCAAGCAAAAATCCTCCATCTCAAGGTGATGAAAATGTTTTTTTTCTCATACTTATGGGCGACTAGTCATAGTTTTATCCTTAAAATGACAACTTGTCTTTTCATTTAAAATGAACTAAACAAATCATTTTGTTATTTGTACCACGAACTACGAGGTTTTGATCTTATATTGTACTTTGTGGGCACATATGCATGAGGCTCAAGAAGTCTCTCCAAACACAAAAATCTTTAAAAAAAAAAATTTCTCATCTCCCCCATCTTATTTCAAACAAACATTTCAAACCAAAAAGCGTAGATTTTTCAAAATGGTTCTTATAAAGTACTATAGACATTTTGGGTGCTAACACCTTCCCTTTGCGTAACCAATCCCCTTACTATATCTCTGTTATTCGTTCTTGTTTTAGAACTCCTTAGATTTTGTTTGCTCTTTTTCCTTTCCTTTTGATAAATAAAAGCGCGATGACGACTCTTACTTTATGAGTTAAGTTAATCAATAGCTCACACTCATAAATTTTTTTGCTACAACACTTTTTCACTTAATTTCTATAACTCTCATGCAATCATGGAGATGTTTCGTAATCGTCATATGTGGTTGTTCATGTTGTGACCTTGCACCCTTTTTGAGATCGAACCCGACTTGTTCATCCGCCAGAGTCCTTACGTAACCGGATCCGACTAGCTCATGCATTGTAACAATGTTCTCTTAAATCGAAATCTGATCTACTTAAGATTTTGTTATTCGTTCTTGTTCTAGAACTCCTTAGATTTTGTTTGCTCTTTTTCCTTTCCTTTTGATAAATAAAAGCGCGATGATGACTCTTACTTTATGAGTTAAGTTAATCAATAACTCATATTCATAAATTTTTTTGCTACAACACTTTTTCACTTAATTTCTATAACTCCCATGCAATCATGGAGATGTTTCGTAATCGTCATATGTGGTTGTTCATGTTGCGTCCTGGCACCCTTTTTGAGATCGAACCCGACTTGCTCATCCGCCAGAGTCCTTACGTAACCGGATTCGACTAGCTCATGCATTGTAACAATGTTCTCTTAAATCAAAATCTGATCTACTTAAGATTTATACAATCTAACTTGTTTGTCCCTTTATACTCGACCTACTAAAACTCGATCTTCAAAAATTCCAAAATGTACAATTATGTACTACCTCGTTCTTAAATATAAAACCCCATATAATAAAAACTGTTTCGTAAAATAAAAAAAATACTTATCAAATAAACCTCAAATCCCAAACTGTTAATCTCACTTCTCACCAATGGTCGGTCAAGAAATTTCGTACGGAAACAAACGCTCCCACTCTCACACCGGCGACAACAACATCAAACCCAAACGTTGTAACCCTGGCGGCGACGACTCTCGTGACACGTTCCTCATCACACAGGACGATACAGTTTACATCAGATCAGAGGGACTAAATAATAACAATAATAGTAATAATAATAACACTAAATATTTATTTAAATAATACTCACTTCCTATTATTTAATTAAATAAATATTAACTAATATAAGTTAATTAGTTCTACTCTCCACACAATCAAACTCTACACAATTACTCATACACTCCTACAACACCTTAGAGTCTATTCTTAAGTCCTCTACCATTCCCAACATAAAAAAAATACACATAATCACATACATTCACACAACATCATATAATTTTAATAACGGAAAATAATTAAAATAAAACAGGGTGTTACACAATGCGTGCCAAAAAGGTAAACAAGTGAAGTCTCATTTATATCAAAAGATATTAATTCTACAAATAGGCATTTACAACTTTTATACATGAATCTTTTTGGTCCATCCATTGACATACGTTTTGGTGGAAATTAGCATGACCTTGTTGTAGTGGATGACTATTATTGCTATATCTGGATATAATTTCTTTCTCATAAAAAGGCACGTTTGTTGCCTTTTGAAAATTAGCTAAGTTTATTCAAAACAAAAAGCATTCAAGCATCGCATCTATCCAAGGTGATCACAAAATTGAATTTCAACATGTAAAATTTGAAATTTTTGGCATCAAGAACGACATAAAATAGATTTTTTCCATTTCATGAACTCTATAGAAAAATAGGGTATTGAAACTAAAAAATAGTTCTTTTAAAAAGGCATTAAAGATGATGTTTAGCCAAATCAACATTTTTAAATGTTTTTTCAAGCGATGTAGTAAACATTGTTTGCTATGTACTACCTCATCTCCAAATATAAAACCCCATAGAGTAAACTATTATTTTTTTAAGCAAAGAAAAATATCATAAAACAACAAGGAAATACAAAAAAAATTGGGGGATATAAACCTGACCCAGCAACCACATCCCTAAATGGGAAAAATAACAAAGCAAAACAAAAATGGTAAAGAGTCCAATGCAAAGCAAATAGGTACACACAAAAACACAATTTAACGAACACAACGCGGAGTCCGAAACCAAATTGCAAAAAAACTATGCGTAAAAATAAGCCAGCATTTTAAAAAACCAGAGATGAGTTTGAAGAATCAAACTCGTCTTGTTAAGAATGATGAACGTATATGCGACCATCACATACAATACGCATACCAACTGTCCCCGTGAATTGAAAATCACAAAAATTTAATAGTCCTTTCGAGCCAAACTAACCCAGATCGTAACGAGCAAGCTCTAAAACATCCGAACAGACATAAATAGAACAATCAATCGACAACAAGGTATTAATAAGCACAAAACCACTACTGCAGTGACGAAGACCTTAAAACATAACTGCAGATCTCATCACATATGAAAAGAACCATAGATCAAAAGCGATAAACCACCACCAGCACCTGTGAAACGTAGCTTTAGATCAACCATAGTCAAATCTATTTCAAAACTACCAAAAAATAAATCGATCTCAACACTGAAACAACAAACAAACCACCAGAAATGACGACCGACAAAAATCTAACTAAAACTCTAAAGAATGGTGTGAAAGGCAGATTTGGCGGTACCATAAAACAAATTGTGCATAACAACCTCACAACATAGAGAGGTGGTGCAAAAAAATCTAAACTCTCTTCACACCAACAAAAACTTAAACTACAAGATGTAGGTTGATGTTTGAATTTGAAAGAAGAAAAAAAGAACTAAAAAAATGAGAAATGTTATTCTTGCACCAACATATACACTACACCTTATTTTACTGTTCACTAATACAGTGAACAATAAAATATATTTTTTAAAAAATATATAAAAATTAATTTTTTTTATATTTGAACATTTATTAACCAATTTTATAACTTTATCAACCAACTTTGTTTTACTATTAAAATTATTTTTATATTTGAACGTTTATTAACGAACTGCATAATTTCATTAACAACTTTTTATATTGTATTAACCAATTTTATTTTACTAGTAAAAATTAATTTTAATATTTAGACCTTTGTTAACCAATTTTATCATTATATTAATTAATTTTTTATATTTTATTAATTAATTTTAATTTACTATTAAAAGTCACTATCTATCCACTATTTATAAACACTGTTCACGCATATAAAATTATTTATATAAAACTATTTAACTATTATTTATATATGATTTTACTGTTATTTACGTTATTATTCACCGTATTTATGACGGTGGGTATAGGTTAAAAAAAAGTTGTAAAGATTACATTGCTACCAAATAAATAAATTAAAAAAAAGCTAGAGAGAGGTGGGAAAAATACAAACGTACTATAGCAAGAAGAGAGTGTCCCATAGAGTAAATTATGCGAATTAGGGATAGATAAAACAAAAAATAATTTGAGAAAAAAAGTACAAGTTGACTCGGAAATGAAAAAACTATGTCGGCGAAGTGTACAAACAACATACACTTATAGATAAAAACCCTAAACAAGTTTCTCGTTTCATTCCCTTCTCGTTAAAACAAACAAACTCAAAATAAAAAAAGCCCAATTCGTAAAACACGAAAAATACTTATCAAAGTAACCCTCCAATCCCAAACCGTTAATCTCACTTCTCACCAATGGCCGGTCAACGAACTTCGTACGGAAACAAACGCTCCCACTCTCACACCGACGATGGCAACATCAAACCCAAACGCCGTAACCCCGGCGGTGACGACTCCCGCGACACGTTCCTCATCACACAGGACGACACCGTTTACCGCTACCTCTGTCCTGTTCGCAAGATCGGAAGCATAATCGGCCGCGGCGGGGAGATCGTCAAACAGCTTCGCGTCGAGACGAAAGCGAAGATCCGGATCGGAGAGACGGTTCCCGGATGTGATGAGCGTGTTGTGACGATCTATAGTGTGGCGGATGAGTCGAATGATTTGGAGGATTCTGGGGAATTTGTGTGTCCGGCGCATGATGCGCTGATAAGGATTCATCAGAGGGTGATTGCGGAGGATTTGAGAGGACGTGAAGGGGAGGACGAGGATGTGGATATGGTGAAGGAGGATTCTCAGGTTACGGCGAAGCTTTTGGTTCCGTCGGATCAGATTGGGTGTGTGATTGGGAAAGGGGGACAGATTGTTCAGAATATTAGAAGTGAGACTGGGGCGCAGATTCGGATTCTTAAGGATGAGAGATTGCCTCTTTGTGCGTTGAATTCTGATGAACTTGTTCAGGTTGATTTATAATTCATTGCTATGTGGATTTTTTGTTGATGTTTACGTAGTAGTTATGTTTTGCATTGTTTTAAACAAATTCAGTGGAATTTGATTATTGTTCAAGCAGATTGATTATGGTTTGTTTGGACAAAAAACATAAATTAGAGTATAAGCTGCTATCATAGAAGTGTTTATGAATAAGTTATTTCTTTTAAGAAATTATAAAAGAAAGTCAAACTCTTTTTATCTAAGTTATAAGCTATTTGCTATCCAGGCGGACTTGGGCTTTGTTTGGATTGATGGAATCTGATGGTGTGGGATGGGATGGAATGGAGTGGTACTCCATTGTTTGGATCATTTAAATTCAGATGAAGCGAAGCCGAATGAAGTGGTGTGGATTCCATTCCATTCCATCACTTACCATTATATTTCTTCCTCTCCAATTTGGGTGGAATGAAAAATTTGCTTTCCTCCGTCCTAAAATTTCTTAATGGTGGAATGAAATCTTCATTCCGCTCTGATCATTTTATGATATCCAAACATAGCCTTAGGGAAGTATGGTAAACCAATTTAGTGTCATAAATTGTTTACATAAGCCCTTCTTAACAGTTTTACAAATGAAATGTTTATTTCATTACACACTCAAGACACATTTGATGAAAAACTCAAACTAAATATTTAAATAATACTAATATATAATGAAATTAATTTTTATACTGAGTTTTTTTTATTGGTTGTGTTTATATCCTGCATGCCCAAGAATTAATTGTAAATTCATCTGTTAGTTGTTGCATGAGAAATTATTGTATGTCTTTGCTCACAATGCCGAAACTGCAGGTTTCTGGTGAGATTGCTGTTGTGAAGAAGGCTCTTATTCAGATTGCATCACGGCTTCATGACAACCCTTCGCGTACTCAGCATTTGCTTGCTTCTACTGTTCCTGGGGTATATGCAGCTGGTGGTTCAATGGGGGGTCCTCCTGGTGGGGCTCCGATTATGGGGATGGGTCCTCTTGGTGGCGGTTATGGGGGGTATAAAGGTGATGTTGGAGACTGGCCACCACGGTCTATGTATCCGAGTTCAAGGGATGAAGGTTCTCTGAGGGAGTTTTCAGTCCGGTTTGTTTGTCCAATTGCTAATATTGGAGGTGTGATAGGTAAGGGCGGTGGTATTATCAATCAAATTAGGCAGGACTCTGGAGCTACAATCAAGGTTGATAGTTCGGCAACTGAAGGAGATGATTGCTTAATCGCCATTTCGACAAGAGAGGTGAAATGTTTATTATGAATTGCATTTTTTTTATTTATTCAATTTGTTTATGTTGTATGGACACATATGATATGGACGGATGACTTATTTTAGTTTTCATGATGCTTTTTGGATTGTGTTTATGTAGTTATTTGAAGATTCTTTCTCTCCAACAATAGAAGCAGCTGTGCGTTTGCAACCACGGTGCAGTGAGAAAATTGAAAGAGATTCCGGGATTCTCTCTTTTACTAGCAGGTTACTGGTGTCAAGTTCTCGAATTGGTTGTCTAATTGGTAAAGGAGGAACCATCATTACTGAAATGAGAAGGCTTACAAAAGCTAACATACGCATCCTATCGAAGGAAGATCTCCCTAAAATTGCATCTGAAGATGATGAAATGGTGCAGGTGAGGGCATTCTTATAGATTACTTGGGTGATGTATTTTATTTTATTATTTTGGTAAATCAGAAGTTGCAATAATCTGAATTATATATATTTTTTGTTTTCTTTCTCGATGCTTTATTAGATTTCGGGGGAACTAGATATTGCCAAAGATGCCCTTGTCCAAGTACTTACACGGCTAAGAGCAAATATTTTTGATAAGGAGCGTTCTGTCTCATCATTCCTTCCACCAGTACTTCCATATCTTCCTGGTTCGCCAGAAGGACCAGATGGTTTGAACTATGACGGTAGAGATGGAAGAAGACATGGACGTGGCCATTCTTATTCAGATGGCTATGGAGGCTCAAGTGATTTGCCATCTGGTGACAGTTATGGAAACTATGGAAGTTCTCAGGTCCTTTTTTAACAACCATACTCTGCTTGGTCAATTATTTTTTCTCAATTCATTGTTATAAATATTGTTTCATATGCGGCAGCTTGGTCGAGGTGCTCCTTATGGAGCTTATGGAGGTTATGCTTCGGGACGGACTAGCACTTCTGGGTAACCAATTCATTTTTTTTTATGTTCCACCTTTAATTATTATTATTATTCTGTTTTTCAAGTTTCCACATTCTTCCCTATACATACCGCGAAGAGGCTACTTTCACTGATATTTTCTTTGAAGCGTTTGATAACCCGTCAATACTGACATTTGGTATCTATTGCCAGATTGTCTGACAGATTGTCTAGTCAGAGTGGTGTTTCTCGGAGGAGAAACCATGGTTACTAAAACTTGATGAGTCCCTGCAGGTGATTTTAGTTTTGTGATATGTTTTGTAGTTTATCTGGCAACTTCCTACAATATAGGCTATTCACATTAGCGTATAACAGATTGATATCATAACCTGACCAGTGTACCTTGTAGAATTCTGATGCTCTTGTTTTCCCTTTGTTGCCTTTCCCTTCCCATCCCAACAGCTGAGTTATGTGAAGCCCTGAAGCCTACTGCCTAAACTGGAAGACCAGATGAACCACGGTTTGACAAACTCATGCCCCACCTTGAGACGCCTCAACCTAGGGACTGACAAACTCATGGCCAACCTTGACGCCTCTATCTATAGGGGACCAAACATGTTGGAGACTTTTGAATTTGACCGTGTCCATTTTACCTTAATTCCCAAGCTTCATAATTTGTGCTCCCAAGAACCTATAAAAACAGCTTGCCTTTGTGGCTGCTTTTTCATTCCTCTTTAGTTGTCGTTAGATCTAAAACACCATGTAGCTATGATCCTTTGGCAGTTGTATACCTGTATTATTATTGTTGGGTTTTATTTTTTCCCGATGGCTCACATTTACTTGCATTTGAACTTTTTGTCTTTGAATTCAATGTTGGTTCCCGGTAATTTGACCTTCAGTCTACATGTTAAATTTGAGAGATCTTGTGTCGGCTGTATTGCAGGCGCGTGATCTAATTTGACTTTACACAACCGTTTTTTATATATATGAATTTTGTTAGTTCATTCTGGGTTGGTTGAACTTTTTCCAGTTCGGCTCCTCTGGTTATATGAGCTGAATAGACTGAATACAAGACTGGTTCATTGGTTTTTAGGTTGAATGGGCTGTATTGCAGGCGCGTGATCTAATTTGCAGGCGCGTGATCTAATTTGACTTTACACAACCGTTTTTTATATATATGAATTTTGTTAGTTCATTCTGGGTTGGTTGAACTTTTTCCAGTTCGGCTCCTCTGGTTATATGAGCTGAATAGACTGAATACAAGACTGGTTCATTGGTTTTTAGGTTGAATGGGCTAGCACTGGGTTTTAAAGACAAGTTTGTAAGAAACCCGCATATTGTTTTGTAAAAGCAATTCAGTAGCTCAAAAACACATTCAGTCAAACAATTTAAACAAAGTTCCGTGACTTCAATCTCATTCTTCTATAGAACCAAATGAGAGCAAAGGCCATACAACCATACTGGATTACCACATGGGAGTAATATGTTTGAAACCAAACACCAAACTAGTTGTGTATAGTTATCCAGTACATTCCTAATAGGTCATCAACCTTCCATTCCACGTTTGTTTGTTTTAAAGTTCTACTTCTCAGGCCGAGCACGACTTAGAAAGGACAGCAGTGCAATAGAACTGTCACCTAGTGGTGTCTATTGTAGGGAAGTCATAACTTGCATATATCAAAGAGATTGACTTTAGCGACGAATATTACCCCATATAAAATGTGGGCATATTGGATTGCTGTCTATTGGCCAGTTCATTTATTTCAATTTTTGGGTATCATATTTATAATTCACTATTCTATAACTTGAGATTTATTATTTCTTGATATTTTGCCAATAATCAATGGAAAAAAGACTCGGTTATAGTTATAATCATATACTACACCATACACCAATTTGTTTTTTATGTCTTTCTGAATGTGTTAACGTATGAAATATTCCTTCAACTATGTGTCTGGAAATGCTGTTCTTTAAATGAACAAAGCACAGGAGCTTGGAGGACCATTGGTTAGATGTTAGTCTTGCACTTTGTTTAGGTTGTTGGATACTCTTGAATCACATGTTAACATGCCACTTTGAGATTCTTATATGGTGGACAGCTGAATAATTTTTTATCTGTAATATTAATTGAATTTCTTCTTGTAACTAGTGGAACATCTAATATACTGTATTAGTCTATTTAAGATTAGAAATGTCACATGGTGTTTCAATTGTATCAACAAATATATGCTTCTTTCTATTTGACTTATGATTTGCACGTGTCTAAAATAAAATAGAGTTTAAAATATTTCATGTCTGTGATAGTGCCAACATCAAGAAGATTGATTACAACGTGCTTTACAATCCTACAACCATGCTAATTTGCGTTGATTGGGTTAAACGGTTTAGCAAATTGAAAATCAAAGGAAGTAATTTAATTTGTATTAATGTATAAATTATGTGACATATTTATACGGTGTTGTGTAAATGTACCAAAAAAATATTTACTAAATTTTAAATTGATATATATCACATTATGATAAAAAAAATATTACAATTGTAGAAGTGGTTTAATCCTAATTGATTTAAAATAAACATATATTAAAAAAAAATTAAAAACGGGATAGAATTAATTATTCCAAAATATATGTAAAAATATTAAAAATTGGATGAAATTGATTATTTTGAAAATATATAAAAAAAAAATTAAAATTGAATAAAATAGATTATTATTCAATGTATTTGTTATTTTGTGAAAATTGTTTCAATTAATTGAATTTTTAAAATTGAAATAAACAGAATAACATATATTATTTTGAGAAATTATGTTAATTTATTATTAATTGATGTTTTTAAAATAATTTTTAATATAATTTATTAATTAATATAATTTTTAATAATATCTTATATTCTTCAAATATAAAAGATAAATGATAATTATAATACAATATATATTATATTTTTTAGTATGTTTATAATTTATCACATTTTTATAAAATTATTATTAATTAACATTCATAATATGTAAATTTGATTATTAAAAAATTGATGTAAAATAAATCCTTTTAAAGTTAGATTGGGTTGGACCAATTTTTTAAAGTTATTTTGTTTTTGAATTAAATGAGGTTTTATTTTAAAACTGATAATAAAAATAAACAATTCAATAAATTAAGTTTACATGTATTACACACATAAATTAATCAAAATAATGTTTAATATGTCATATTATTATTTTAAAAATAAAAGTGTAATTTGGTCCTGTCTTTTATTAATTGACAATAAAATTATTTTAATTTATTTTATTTTTATTTTATTTTATGGATTTTGCATTTTAGATCGGTTTAAGTATGCACAAGATTCATAAGTATAACGGAGATTAACAATTAAGAAAATTTTATCATATACTTCACAATTAACCCCCTTTATATCAAATTTGACTAAAATATTTTTGTATAAATAATTTATTTGTTTTATTTTTTCACCTTTTTTTTCTATTCGTTAGTCATGTGCTCTAAATTAGAGAAAAATTCGTACCGAAAAATATTTTAGAAGTTCTCCAATTCACAATCTTCAAATTGAAAGTCATTCAATAAGTATTTCAGTTTGTAAAGGATACAAAAACTCTTTAATAAAGATCTAATTTATTGAAATATATTAGAAGTCTTTTTTGAAGTTCTCCGATCTTTAAAAAAACAACACCAAATATCTTTATGCAAGTATTTCAAGTGGATTTTTTTTTCTACCAAGAATCTTTCAAAAAGATTTTTGGTTTAACAATTTTTTTAAAAATGTTTTAATGTTTGTTTTTTTTCCAATGGCGCAAACCCGAGGCCACGACAGTTGGATTCCAGTGTGTGTTGGTGTAGGATGAGGTGCTCGAGTATCGATGGTAGATGAGGATGAACATATAGGTGGATTAACATCTGCTATAGAGTCAGTAGAGATTTCAGGAGAGCCATATGATACATCTTTTATGGTAAAGTGCGAGCATCATATTACTCGCCATATATGATTCAACGAGGTAAGTAAACGACAATCATTTGTTGAATAATTATAAATTTTAATTTTATATTTTATAATATATACTTTAAATTGTTTTTAGGGGAGAAGTTCGAAGAAAGAAATAAAGGTTACTGGACACAGAAGCAAGTTACATCAAGTGTTTCTTATTGTGTCCCACCTAAGATGCCGAGGTGAATGCATGAGTCTGGTCTATCTTTACTCTAAAGAATCTGTTTGACGAGAATAGACAAAAACTTGATATCAACATTTGTAGAGAGATGACATTCAGAGACATCACCATTTCACATGCAATATGGCGACTAGGGCTTCCCGACTGACATCTCGAGATGTGGTTTGGAAGAATCTCAAAAGAAGATCTTGAGATATGGTATTGAGGACTCTCAGGAACAAACCTGGATAAGCACTCGACACCATGTTGAGGATGATACTTTTGACAAACTTTAAAGACTTAAAAAATTAAGGAAACCAAAGACAGAAGAAGGCTCTTAGCGTTATCAATAACTACCTTCGATGAACATGCAATTACTAGTCACTAAAAGTAGTTAGAGAATACGAGATAATGATTTTCAGCAGTTTTAAAGTATTGACAATGTGACGTGCATCAAAAAATGACCTGCATGTATTTATGGACGTGTCGATTCTTTAGAAGTAAATTTTTGGAAACAATTATTGTTATTTTAGTATATATAATAAGCTCTATGTTGTAATAAACGTCACAGATTTCATATACTTTCACTATAAATCTAGAGTACCCAAGGCAAAGTGTGAAATAATTTGTGATTAATATGTGAGTATGTGTCCTTTTCATTGTATTTTTCTATGTTTTCTTAATTGAAACCTTTTTCTTTTTGTCATTGACTGCATTTATTTAATGTTGTTTAATTCACATTTATTTTACTTTAATTCAACCTATATTGTCTTTGAAGTTCACCTTTAAACTGTTTGCATACAGACATTTGTAGTCACATCATACACATATTTTCTAGTAAACATGTTTTAACAAAGTTACTCTCAAGATTTTTTGAGTTAAACTTTCGAACTCATAATTGTTTGCTAAAAACACATGTGAACACTAACACTATAGAAAAAGTATTCAACAACTTAATTGAACCTGGGTGGGAAAAAAAATATGTCTCACAACTTCTTTGTCATCTATTTTTCTACTCCAATAGACATAGTATGTGTCCTCAACGAGTTTAAACAAATATTATATCTCACTTTTAGAACCCTTTTTCTCTTTTAGTAACTTACTCTTATGCTTATATATTTGCG